TGGAGGCGATAGTCATTAGTTGCCCGAAGTGGACTTTAGTGTGCGTCCGTCGCGCTTCAGCAGCGACCTCTCCTTGCTCTCTCACGGTGCTGAGATCCCAGACTCCCGCATTACCTAAGCCGTCTGCTTCTTCCTTTATGGCCTGCAATGCCTCGGACGAGGCAAGCATTTCTGAACGTGAAAGAAGTTTTGTGACCATGGCGGCTATGTCGGGAGAAGTCTCCTGCTTTGGAATTCCCTGAATTTCCCTAACGAGATTATCCAAGTCAAAGAGTTCTTCAATAAATCTGCGGGATGTTGGATCTGATTCAACCACTGACGCGAGAGCCCCAACACCCGAAAGTGCGGAGGTATGCTTCAAGGACTGCTCCTTTTCCCGATGCTCCTCTTGCACGATGACGGCCTGGACTGGCATTGCAGGCGCGCATGGTGTTGCGACATGCGGATATAACGCACTAGCGATTATCTTACACATCTCTTGTGGATAAAAGGCGGTGCGTGCAGTGTTGCTACCTGCGGCCTGTGCATGCTTGAAGGAGTGTTGGTGGGGGCATGTCCCATTCTGGAACCCATCATGAAGTTCCTTGGATGTGGTCATGAGACGCCACGGCTTCTTGATGGGAGTCCCTTCCTTGTCAGTTAGACCTACTGCACACCCGTGGAAAGTCACTGAGTGGAAGCGAGACGCATGCTTCTCGAAGAATGCCTTTACGTCGGGGCGCTCCCATCCCTCGCAGTCGCGAGGCCACTCGAAAGTGACGTGACCCTCTTGTTCTATCACTACTTCGGCGTGCTTTGTGAACCTTGCGAACAACGCCTCCGATCTTTTAACCTGTGCACGGAGATACTGCTTGTATTTATTGCCATACTTATGGACATTTAGCCTTTGCCATGGCGACCCGGAGGTGCACGGAATGGCTGCCCACATGTTAGGCTTGCTACAAGACTGCAACTGAGCGGTCAGTTGCTCATCCCCTTCATTGGTTTCAAGATCGATGTGTTCTTTAGCCAGTCTCACGTGGGGAATGCCCAATGCTTGATGCACTGCTCCCATGGTGGAGTCACTTGAACATGCATACTCGAACATTACAGGCATAGAATTTCCCCGCGCGATACGCTTGCGGGCCCTCTTATTCCCTACGGAAAACTTTTTGCATGGCTCCCTTTTGGAACATGGCATGCCGAACACAGGCAGAGTCCGAGCCTCCCTCTTGGTGAAGGAGTCGGCTACGTGGCACGTGAGTGACGTGGAGGTTGCAGTGGTTGTTGTCACCGCCGCGCCAGTTGTGGCTGCAGGCGGCGCGGTTGGAGGAATCCCCCCTGGCCGAGACGGAGCTGGCTTGCCGCGAAGAGCGTCATCATGCTCTTCGGATGCCCTCAGTGCTTTCTCGAGCTCATCGGGATCAGATAGATCTGCCTTTTCAAGGCGGGAAAGCTCAAGTGCCTTTTTAAGGTCGGCATCGTCTTCTTCGAGACGTGCCTCCTTGGCTGCATGAACTGGGTCAATCGCTTCGGAGGGGCGAAGTGACCGCTCTACCTCGACGGCAGCCGAGCGCTTGGAGCGCTCCTCGGCTTTCTCTGTATCGACAAGCCTTGCGAAGCGGCGTCGACATTCGGGGGTATGGTACCGGGTGCGCCCAGTACAACCTCGACAACCTGGTGTTTCACGGAACCGAATTATCCGATCCACAGTGATGTACACGCCTCGCGGCGTGCCTGGAGCGGGAGTCGGCGGTGCAGCTACTTCGCTAAACGGAACCTCTTTAAGAGCGACTTCTGGGAGCTCACCCTCGGCTTCCCCCGTCCGCAGCGCCTTGTGGGCTGCTGCCGCAACGGGGAAGCAAGGCTCACCTTCTTCAACGAAGAGTTCTGCTTCCGGGACATCATGCACTACAATCGCTCGACGAGTCCTAAATTCTTGATAATCTAGGACCTTGACCACATGGCGATACCGAAGGCCTGCGTCAACCCTCCAGCCCAAAAACAAAGCAGGTGCCAAGTTGGGTTCTAGAGTGCGCTTATTAATGCCCTTTTTACGGTAATAGACAAGCTGACCAAAGCAATGCCTAATGCCATCGAACTTCGACTTTGTCAAGGCTTCCCATTGGGTCTTAGCCTTGTCGAATGTTGCAGGTCTGTCGAATGACATGGAGAGGCACGCAAAGGGGTAGGAGTGAGTGTGTAGATCGTATGGCAACCCACTCTGGAGGTGGATGGATCTGCAACATTCCTTTTCTTCCCTAATGTCCCTTTCCAACTCGGCATTGTGGGGCCATCGGTTCGGCAGCGAGGTTTCGGGTGTTAATCCGACCTCATGAGCTGCCGCTTCAAGCTCTCCAGCTTCATCCATTTTGACCAGACATGTCGGAGAGAGCTCGTTGGCTTTCAAACCTAGGAAGTGCCTTAGATTTTTGGAATGGGCTGCTGTGTCCCTTTTGGATACAGGATATGCAATCCTTGCTCCAGAGAAAACATCCCTGATGACGTGGTGAGATTTAATCCCTCCGACTCCAATGCCCGCATGTTCATCTCCTTTCGCAAGGATGACACTGTCAGTGGCGAGCTGTTGAAACGGGGCAGTAGGATTGTCGATCCCGTCATCGGCACGACCATCGGGTTTGCGAGCAACACGCGCTGCGGTGTTCTTAGCAATCGCACATATCCGACAGAATGGATTCTTTGGGAAGTGTGATCGAAGGTGCTCGGGAGAGTTGGCTGCTGCCCGGAGTACCCTCTCATCGCTTGGCTCGCCATCGGCTAGCTCTGCAAGCGGCACCTCATCGTCCCGGTGTGGTGGGACTGGCGGTGCTTCTGGCGGTGGGATCGGAGGAGGTTCTGCTTCGAAGAGTTCCCCATCCGCAACGGAAACGGCATCGTCTCCATCCACCGCCGCGCCTGGACTGGCTGCGGCCTCGACGGGCTGTAGATTGGATGGCTGATCAGCAAGCTTTGGGATGACGGTTTCGTCATACTGGGGCACATATTCTACAACACGAGTTGCATTGATGCGAGCTCGGCGTGGGACCTTGATGGTGCATCTTGAGATGTCATCGGGTGGAACGAGATATGGCACATCCTCCCTTGGGTCCCAAACGAACAAGTGACCTTGGTCGACGACCGTCTTGCCGATCGATTGTGCTGGAGGGCACTCCTTGAGAACATACACCTGTTCATCCGGAGGGATTACATTGCTGTCCTGGAAGGCTAGGGTATTTCCCTGTTGTGCACCTCCACCGGTCGCGAATCCGACGGGTGTCGAACTCGGCCGGACGCACTTGTGCATCACACTGCTGAGGGCTTGCCGCCCAATGAGATGCCTGCCAGCTGCAGTATCCCACAACCAAGTCACCTTATTATCGGTGATGGCTGGGACCGCCGGAATCAGCGGGGCCACAGCCGCGGGCGCCGAAGGCTGCCCCTTGGCTTTGGAGATGGACTTGGGCGGTGGTCCCGTGTACTTTTTGTTCGGATCATGGGAGAACGCGCATTGCTTGGCGTAGCAACAGTTGTACGCAAAGAACATACACGGAACTTTTGCCTTTTCAGCTGGCGTCATTTTTGCAGTTTTGCTTACGGCATTAGAGCGGGGAGTGAGATCACCCCCTTGCTTGCCCTTGGGTTTCGCCTTGGGTGGCGGCCCTCCTGGTGGCTTACCAGAAGGGGCAGGCGCCGCGGGCGCGGTGCTCTTTGCTGCCGGCTTCTCTTCTTTCTTCCCGGCCTTCTTGCTCCGTTTCTTCTTGGTTTCGGCTGGATTGGCAGGAACATCATCCTTTTGGGATGTTGTAGATGTCAAGACCGTCGGCTTAAGCTTAAGGTTCTTTTCAAACCCATCTCTATTCCGCTTTTGCTGGTCTAAATCTATTGCGTTCCTTACCTTAGCCCATAACCAAGATGTAGAGCGCCTATGGCTGCTCCCGGAGGCTTCGATGGCCTTGTCAACCTTAGATTTCATGGCCGTGCACTTGGCGAGCTCATCAACCAAGTGATTGAAGAGCGTACGCTCCTTGGGCAACTCGTCAATCGGGATCGCGGAAAGTACTGATACTTATCGCGAAACGCCTCAAGGTCGGCTACTGACTGCCCGGCTAGTTTGAGGTTCAACAAACTACGTTCACCGAGCACACCAATTCGGTCCCTTTCTAGTTGAAAGTGACGAAAGATGGAAGCCATCATGATGCGTCCATTGGGCATGCCTCCGGTCACGGAGCGTTCATGCTCAACCATTCCCTGAAACAACAGCCCAAACTTACCTTTGCGGCATGTCTTTAGGAGCTTCGCAGTGACTTCGCGATCGGTTCGTGGGAACCTTTGATCAGCTTTCAACTGTGCGTCACTCTTAGTTAGGCAGTCTTGCGCCCACAAGTAAAGTTCATCACCTGGGCTCTTCTGAAGTCTACCTATGGCCATTAAAACCTGGTTTACATAACCTCTTGCTTGGCCCGCATCCTCTGGAGGGGCAGGAAATGTCAAATCCTTCAAGTCTTTGATGCGGACGACATCCTCCTCTTGGGATGCGAAACTTTTGGTCTGGTGTGCGCTGGCGGAGTCTGGGAGTGTGCCGTGAGCATCACCTACCGCACTGAAAGCAGCACTTGGCGCGCAAAATGCAGCGCCCCCCTGAGTTGCATCTCCACTGTTGGTGTCTAAACCCACTTCGTTCATTGAGAGACGGGGGCATGACAATTCGTCGTGGGAACCACCGCAAACCCTACACTGGCCAGTGGGTTCGGGTTCATCGGCATCATCATCCTCGTTCTCGGAACTTGATGAGGACTCTGAGCTCGCGTCTGATGCAGCCTTAGGGGTGGTGTCGACCATTCCCGCACTAAAACTTAGGGGGATTATGGGAACCGGGTATGCCTTAGCAGCTGCCCTTGCGGCAGTTGGGGCAGGGCAGGGAGCTGAAGCCATTGGAGGAGGAGCCACGCTTTGTGCAGCGACCAAAGTGCTAAGCTGATGCACCATTGAGGCTAGGGAAGCAATTTGCTGCTTAACATCTGCTATCTCACTTCTCTCATCCTGACTACTGCTCTGCGCGCCAACGGCTGCGCCTTTGGCGGACACAGCACTGTTGCTTGCGGCACCTGCACCTACATCGAATGCGCCAGTAGGGGCTGCGCCCTTTGCGGACGTGGCACTTCCTTTGGCGATCGCTGCTTCGGCACATTGCTCTGAATCGGTAGGGGCAGAACCCTTTGCGAGTCCCGCACTTCCTGCGATGTCCTGTGTTGGGCCGGTAGGGGCAAGGCTCTTTGCGAGTCCCACACTTCCTGCGGCAACATCACGTGGGGTTGCAACATCCTGGAATGTGACATGCAGGTTGGCAGAGGAAGCACCGGGCTGGGCGCCCGAGTCAACACCAGTTGTATGATGAGGACCCACTTGAGGTGCGGCACTATCTAAACCCTGTTGTGAGGATCTATCAAGTCCACTCTGCTGGTTTGCTTGGTCTTGCAATCCACTGGATGAAGCCCCCGTTTGGTTACCCATTGACACATCCTGTCCACCCAAAATGGGGGAGCTCCGGTTATGCGACCCTTTGGGTTGAGGGGTATTAGAATCCGTACCATTATCGGTTTGTGCTTGCGGGGCACTTTGCGGCGAGCGAGTCGGAGGCTGACGGACTTCAAGCAAAAGGGAAACCGTCCTTTCAAGTTCGGCTAACCTAGACGCTTGTTGCAAATCCTTCTCTTGCAGAGCTAGAATGGTGGCATCACGTTCGGCTACGGCACGTTGTGCTTCTTGATAAAGGTATTGGGTCTGAGCTTGGGCCTGGGCCTGTTCAGCATTAGCTCTGTTGCGAACCTCTGCTGCGTACCTTTCAGCTAAAGCCCTAGTCTGACCTACCTCTTCATGGGCCTCGGAAACGACTGTTTGCGCCTGAAGCCTAAGCACCTCGGCCTGTTGCCTGGTTGCCTCCTCTTGCTCCGCAGCGCCAATGGCTTGCTGCCTCGCATTGAGCTCGTGCTCACGTGCATAATTCACGGCCTGTTGAGCTTGGGTTACAAGGTTCATTGCCTGATGCCTAAACAACCCTTCCCTTTGTTGGGCGGCTTCCCGGAGTTCCCCCGCCTCCCTTCGGGCCTGCTCAGCCAGCAGTTGCTGTTGCTGTGCATGTTCAGCGGCCTGAAGCGCGACATCGGAAGCATGGTGGGCACGTTGAACGGCGGCACCCGCAACAAATGCAGCAGCTGGGAGGTTCTGGGTTGGATCGGGCGTTCCAGCCGGCTCTGATGAGGATGGTTCTGAAACGAACATGCGCCTAACAGGGGTTGCATCGGAATCTGGTGCAGGGCTATTAGGGTTATGCCTAACAACAGACATGGCTGGCACCATTGCACCCGCAAGGTCTGGGTCATCATAGTCTGTGCCATGTGAGGATCTAGACCTATCTTCGGATGGGGGTGTAATGCCAGAGGGATTCATGCCTGAGCCGCACGGATGCGATAGCTTTTCCTGCACACGCGAACCAAGTCAGTGCGCCAAAGGCAGCACTCTCCAAGGCCGGTGATTTGTGCCTGGTGGGATTATGAGATGTGCGCTTACGGCTACACTCAAAACAGATTATTGAATGATGCAGCAACACACTCAGTCACACAAGGATTGATATGCCTCACTAATTGATAATGGGGAATCTCCTTTGAACCTAAACTTCTGATTGCAAATTGGATGCAAATGTGCAGGCTCACCAATGCAGTTGTGTGCAATTGGAAATGTGTGACTTCGTGCGTCTTTGCGCCACAGTTCTTCGGGGCGCCAACGGCTGCCCCCTGCACAGGTTGGGAAAAATATCCTAGGTGCGCCAACGGCTGCACCCCTGTCGTGAGCACCAGGTGATTTGCTACCTGCGGACCTCCTCAAGGAGCTCTGCGGCAGTAAGTGCACGGGCAGGCTGGATGGTCGCTCGGTCGGCTTGATCCAACCACTGCTCAATAGCAATCAACGCGTCCAGAGTCCCTTGCACCCCCTGGCTGGGGTACGCCCGGAAAGCGTGCGCGCCTGTAAGTCGCGCCTCACGACAGATTGTGGCGTTGTCGTCCACAAGGATGTGTGCTGCCCAACCGTGCAATAGGTTTGCTTTGCCAGCAACGCCAACCCTGGAGCGCGTGAACTGCGTTGTACCCACGTAGATGCCCTTGTAAGCCAAGTGTACCCTTGCTGTGGCGATCTCCGGTGCCGTAGTTCGTTCGCGCTCGACCCCACAATAGCTGCAAATAATCCAATTGAACGGACCGTGAGCTGTCTGTAGACGAATCAATCCGTCCACGATCTGTGGGTGAAGCCTTCCCCCAGAGCGGATGTTCACGTCGAGCACCCCGTGCCAGTCCAGGACGATGTTGAGCGTCTTCCGGTCCGCAAGGGGTGTCCGAGGTGGGGGATCTGGGATCCCGTGGCTTTCTCGCCTTGGTGGAGGAGGCTTCGGTGGCTCTCGCTTTGGCGGTTGTCGCCAAGGTGGGTCTGGAGCGCCAAAGGCTGCTCCCTGCCCTTTTGGTGGCAACCTCAACGATGCCGGCGGCTGTTTGTACCTGATGTGTGGGCCAGGCCGGCTGTTTGCAGGGACAGAAGCCTTTCTGGCTGGCGGTGCCGCTAAGCGTGGGGGCGAAGAAGATCTTGCTTTGCTCAAAACACGTCCGCGACTGCTTGCCAAAAATGCTGCAACTGTTCCCCGCGCCGCTGGCCGCGTCCCGCACTTTACTGTGGCTTTCGTAGCAGGGGCCGGAGGTGAGGCCGGCACTGTAGGTCTATGAAACGGTGCTTCGTATACCCCACCCGCCCGGAATGCTGCTCTGCCTGAAAGCAAATCTTCTGTGTTGTGCACTGTGTCCCCGTCGGAGTAGTCTGCCAGGTGGTAGACCTCCGCGTTCCCGTAGTTTGGGGTCGAGGAACTAGACCTTTCCCCGTAGGCCTCGGGGCGGAGCCACACGTCCGTTGGCAGCTCGTGAGGATCACTGAACTGCGGTAGACGTGAGCGGGTTCGGCCTGCAAATGCCCGTGGAGCGCCGGAGGGCTGCTCCCTCTGCAGTGTCCACGCGCCGGTCCGGTCGATGCGGACCGTCGGATAGGCCGAGCTCCTTGGCGCCAGCACGATCGGCCTGTCGGTTGGCGAGGTCCTTGATGGCACACTCCTCGATCTGCCACGCGAGGATCGACTGGTCGTCGGGCGAGGAGTTCTGCGGGTTCCCGAAGGCTCCCGACTGCTCGACTCGCCTGCCGCGCCGAGGGCTGCGGCCTCCTGGATCGGTGTCGGAGTTCTTGACCGAGAGCGAGACCTAAGCACGATGGGTACTTGGGAATAAACTGCTCGCAGAACTTGCCTTGACACTGACCGTGGGGAGGTCGTAGATGTCCTTCTCCTCGGAGCTGTACCAGTCACCGCGCCTTGGGCTGCGGTCCTCGCTGTAGGCAAAGCCGGAGCAGACAACCAAGCCTCAGCAGGTGAAGCCTGCTGGGCCACGGAAGGCTGCGCCGCCTGCTGCTGCTGAGGTGGTGTAGATGGAGTCGGAGACGAGGGAGTGGCAGGCACTGGATTTGCACCTGCCGCGCCAGTGGCTGCGGCCAGCGCTGCTCGGTGACGTCCCGGTTCCAGGCCCGAAGGGCAGCAAGCTGCACCTCTGATCCCTGTTCCCACTGCAACTTGGGTGGTGTAAGCCCAAAACGCTGCTGGACCTCGTCGATCACGTCCTCCTGGAGCTCCCACCACACTCGCTTCTTGTTTGCGGCTCCTCCACGGTACCACGTTTGTGGTACTCTTCCTCGACGGCCATGCCCCCCCCCTTATGGGGGAACCGCTGAGGGAGGGCCTAGTTAATCCCGAAAGAAAGCTATACGGCTGATAACCAATCAAAAGAGCAAGAAACCCCAAACGCGCGCCGAAGGCTGCGCCCTGAACAAAAAGAGGTGGATTGACCGTGGTTAATCCCTCAGCGGTTCAGGGGGTTGTCTCTACACTCTAGTTCCGCACTCAGCGCCCTTTTTCAGTGAGCGCTTGAGCCAAACAGCGTTTGCCGTTTGACAAGTCTGTCATGTCATGCAACCCTCAACCTAAACCAAAGTGGCCTCATGCAAACCTCACGCCAGTGAACACACAACTAGGCAAGTTACCATGCCTTTGGGGGCAAAGGGGTCGTTATTTCTTGACTACCTTTGGGGTCATTGCTGGAGGTTAATGTTAACAAACCGATTGGCTAAGGGTGGCAATGCGTAAAGGGAAGCCAAAGAGAAAGCGAAGGAAAACAAAATTGGGGGAAACCCCCGGTTTTGGTCTGGATTCAAAGGGAAACCCATGGGAAGAACATGAAAAGCGCGCTTTGGCTTGAGCTTCTCCAGTTCCGCCAAGCTTACCGACCAGCTGGACGTGCTTCCCAGGTCGCCGGACGCCGACGGGCGCATGTTCACCCCCACCAACTTGGCGCCTACGATGGAGGCCGCCTTTGCGCTGAGATGCTGAGATGCTGGGCTAGGCGGGTCCTAAGAACCTGCACAAAAGGTGAACGCAAGGGTAGAAACACATAGACACACCTGTTTCGCAGCGTGCGGGATCAGAATGGAATTGAACTGATGAGATAGGGGTAGACGCGCAAAGAGTTCAGGGTCCAAAGCTGTTGGCCTTTTGGCCTTGTTGTTCCCACTCAACGAGTCTCCCAAAAACTGCTGGATAAAAGTCGGAGAAAAGAAACACTGGAGCAACTGGCGTTTGTTCTTCTTCTTCTTCTTCTTTTGTTTTTTGGGGGGGGGAACTCAAAACCGCCTGTCGCTCTTTCTTACTTGCTGAAAGGGATGGCACCGAAGACCAAAGGGCCTTCCCAACAATCCCAAACTTGCCCAAGCTGCTTTTAAATTCAAAAAGGCCTTGACGGCAGAACTGTCTGGTTTTTGTCCGTCCCCAAGCCCTCGAATGCCCAGACCAAGGCCATGGGAAAGAAAGGGCACCGTGTGGCAGTGGATTGTCAAGGCAGGTTCCCTCCCAAGAAAGAAGCACGGCAAATGTTGAAGGAAATCATGGGAACCAAGAAAGAACGGAAAGAGCTTTAAAAAAAAACCACAGGTCTGGGCTAAAACGGCGGTTTGGCAAATGGATCCCTGTGAAGCGACTTTGGGCGTCCCCAGAGCCAAGGGGCTGTGTCTTTTGTGTTGGACCATTTTTGGGGTTGGCTTCAAGGGAAACCAAAGGAAACAAACACATATTTTCTTTTGGGATCAAGGGGAGGGGAGGTGGAAGAGGTTCCCCTCGAAAAAAAATACTTTGCTTCGAGCAATCCCTACCCTCCACACTCACGAGCTTACGACCGTTACAACACATTCCTCCGCATCCTAGAGACTTCGACTCCAAATTCCCATCGGCCCTTTTGGACATTAAGCGAAACCAGACTGGCAAGCTGCTCTGGCGGGATACTGGCGAGGTCCACTGACGAATGCTGGCGACGCTCCGGCTCGGCCGGATACTTGGCACGGCAAGGGATCGGGATACTCGGCGGGATCCACTTGCGGGGACACTCGGCGGGATCCACTGAGCTACTCTGGGATACTCAGCGGGATGCTCGGCGGGATCCGCTGGCGGGCTGCTCTGGTGGGATACTCGGCGGGGTCCACGCGCCACTGGATCCGCTACTCTGGGATACTCAACGGGGTACTCGGCGGGATTTACTGGCGGGCTGCTCTGGATATATACTTGGCAGGGTCCACTGGCAAGCCGCTCTGGCGGGATCCACTGGCGAGCAGCTCTGGCGGGATACGCGGCGGGATCAACTGGCGAGCCGCTCTGGCGGGATACTCGGGATCCACTGGCGAGCACAGCTCTGGCGGGATACGCGGCGGGATCCACTGGCGGCGGGATCCACTGGCGAGCCGCTCTGGCGGGATACTCGGGATCCACTGGCGAGCCGCTCTGGCGGGATACTCGGCGTGATCCACTGGCGAGCCGCTCTGGCGGGATACTGGGCGGGATCCACTGGCAAGCACGTCTGGCGGGATACTGGGCGGGATCCACTGTCGATCAGCTCTGGCAGGATACTCGGCGGGATCCACTGGCGAGCTGCTCTGGCGGGATACTCTGCGGGATCCACTGGCGAGCTGCTCTGGCGGGATACTCGGCGGGTTCCACTGGCGAGCTGCTCTGGCGGGATTATGGCGGGGGGGGGCGTGGTGTAGAAGCATCGCAAACAACGCGGATTCCAACATAAAATCTAACAACCCCTTCCTGTCAGGTGGGGAAAAAGCAACACGCACGCGCCTTCATGACAGCATCGAAGCAGGGGGTGAACACCACCACCTCATCCCCAGGATCCGTCCAAGCGAAAAGCGAGGTGAAGATGGCCTCCTGGGCCCCGATGGTGGTCACCACCTCCTGAAATCCATTTGGCTGGTCACAAATAGGCACCCAAAATAAAACCCTGGCAAATGGAAACATAGACAAAAACCTGCGGTCTGGTGGTTTAATTTTGACTCATACCCATTTGTCTCCGCTTGAAACATGCGTCTGCCCTCTTGGCACTTGTGAGGTGTCCTGAATGGTTTTTCCGATCACTTTTGGAGGAAAGACCCCCGGCGGATGGACAAACGCCTGCACCAGTTGAAATGGATGAAATACGAGGCAAGACTGCTGTTTGTGGGAAAAAACATGGGTAACCCAATTACCCGCATTGTTGTTGTGCTTGTTTGTGACTTGTTTTCCTGTTTTTTCGTGGCAAGGTTGCCT